GCCCCCTCCCCTCTGCCATACCCCCAGTCATCTTTTCCTCTTACTCCTGCCTACTGACAACTGCCTGATTACTGACGCCTGCCCACCCCAAATCCAGGGCTTGCCAGAGATGGCTGCTTCTACCCCACTGTCCTTTCAGTGTTTGCATGTCTCGAGGGGGATGGAAGAGCAGGGTACTTATCTATATCAACATAGGGGTCGTGATGGAGAGAAAGGACCCAAAGAAAGGTGGCTTCATCCTGATAGTTGAGGCCAGAACTTTCTTGACTCTTGTCTACAGGGGCAATGCATCCATCTTCTGATTTAAAATAATAATAGTGGGCTGGGGATGTGGCTCAAGCCGTAGTGCGCTCGCCTGGCATGCGTGCGGCCCGGGTTCGATCCTCAGCACCACATACAAACAAAGATGTTGTGTCTGCTGAGAACTAAAAAATAAATATTAAAAAAAAATCTCTCTCTCTCAAAAATAAAAAATAAAATAATAATAGTAATAGTAATAGCAATGACGAAGAGAGCCATGGACATCAGTGCACACATGGAGTGGACTGTAGTGGCTCTCTGGTTTCTTACCAGTCTCACCCATCTCTCTTTCCTGATAACAGAATGAACTGTTCATTATAGGGTGGAACCCATGCAAGCCTGACCCCCAGAGTCCTTCTCGGACCTTGGGGGACAAACACTCTCCTTCTCTTGGGTTGCTGATCAAAGGCTTCCTATGACCAGCTTCCCCAGCACACCGAGGAACGAAGTCTGAGTGAAGACCAACAGGAGCAGAAGGCCGGAAAGCAGCCTGCCTGGATCCTCCCATCCTGTGAGTACCACAGTTATCCTCTGCCACATGAGTCGGTACATTCCTGTCCCGCTTAAACAAGCTTAAACTGTTTCCTGGAATCAACACAACATAAGGCATTTAAAACCTCTACTTTAAAGTATCCTCTAGCTTAACTGTACTTTTTGAAAGCTATTTAATGGCAAACAATCAAGTTTGAGATCTGGGAGGGAGAAATCCCCCTATTTTGTGTTGTGGCCTGAAAGGAGACCCCCTGGGCCTGGGATCCTTGCTGTGGTCCAGAAGTTGTGATGATTAATTAAAAAGCCTGATGTGGACTCTTAAGGGAGTGCCTCATCTTGAGCTGGACTGGGGTACACAGAGGCTGCACTGGGGTACACAGAGGCTGCACTGGATTCACGCAAAGTCTTCATCACTTACCAAGTAGGTGCTACAATAAGGTCCGCACCATGAAGCCAGGAAAAACCTGAAGATGCACTGTGGCCAGCCACGTTGGTTGGCCATAACTGATAAGGGCCTATCTTTCTGACAGCATTTGCACAACAGGTTTTTCTGCTTTTGAGGCATGTCCCAGAACAAGAGCTGAGCCCAAGAAGGACATTCCTTAACTATTTGTTGTAGCAGGAAGGCGTGCATCTAGTTGATCTAAAATCTATAGAGCATTATTGAGGAGTTAAGCAAAAGTTCATAGGAACAGACTCATTTCATACTTTTAAAAACAGGAATTTACTTGGTTTAAAGGCCACTTCCATTTGCTCTAATTCTGATAAAGATGCTGTGATTAAAGTTTTGGGAATTCTGAAAATTCAGAATTGGCATTAGCTCATTGATAATTCCCATCTATTAAATTAAAGCCTGGATAAGAGATTGATGTTCTTAGTAGAATTCTGAATAATTAGACAAGGGTCTTGCTAAAGCTGAGCACTGTAAGGCTGTTATGAAACTCTTTTCAAAGGAATTGCTTGCTTTGAGAGTGTCTTCCCAAAGTTCTTCAATGCACAATGTTGGAGGTGGTATCTAGTGGGAGATATTTGGATCATAGAAGCAGAGTCCTCTTGAATATATTAATGTCTTCCTCCAGTAAGTCAGTGCTGCTCTCTTGGGAACTGGAAAGGTTGCTGACCCTCATGTTCTCCCTCTCCCTCAGGTGACCATTTCCTTTCTGCCTCCCTCAGGAGCTTGGGGTGGGGTTGATTCCTTACCAGAAGCTGAGCAGATGCTGGCATTATTCTCTTGGACTTTTTGGGCTCCAGAACTGTGAGCCAAAATAACCTCTTTCCTCTATAAATTATCTGTCTCAGGTATTTTGTTATGGCAACATAAAATGGGCAAAGACAAATATGTAGACCAACAGCTCTGGCTAACCAAAGCTTATTATCAAACCAATGCAGTTGCCCCAAACCAACTTCATCTTTGATCTGAGTACCCCATTATTGTGTGTGAAATACTCCTAGAGGATCTTTCAAAACTTACCAAATGAAGACTTTTACAAAAATGCCTTTTTAAAGTAGGTCAGATATTTTATTTTTGGTTTCAATCTTTCAGGAGTTAGACTCTTTTACAGGCACTCCTTTATGTTTTTTTTGTTTGTTTGTTTGTTTGTTTTTTAACAATGCAGTTATTCTGAGGGCTGCTATGAGGCTTTGTCTCAGGCCTCCCTCATAACCAATGTTTATTGCAAAGAGTGAGCACTCTGTTTCTTCTTTGTGACACCCAAAATCCTGTTACCAGAACAATTAAGTTCTTCCACATGATTTTTTTTTAAATGCAGGCAAGAAAGGCCATATCTGTGATTTTCTTCTGTGTAAATCTGTACGAGGAATCTGGAGTGGGATTTTGTAGGCTCAAATCCTGTCTCAGTATCTTGACAGCTGTGTGACTTAGATAAACTCTCTGAACCCCAGTTTCCTCATCTGTAAATGAGGCAATAATAGCACAAGATTTGGAGCGCGGGAAGAGCTCAAAGCTTACGGTTGTCCCGTGGCAAAAGTGCAACTTTTGTATTTACCTTTGGTGATCTCCGAGGGTAGGAAAAACAATTCCCATCTTATTAACTGGATACATCCCACCTCCTGCCCAGGGCTGGCCCTTTCCCCAGACTCGGGGAGACCTTGTTCTTTCAATGTGGTTGAAAACATGGTACTAGGCACTAGCAATAGCGTGAAGGAAAGGGGGCCCTTGCCTCAGGGTTCAAATTGCTTCTGGTTTTCCTTTAGAAAGAAGCATCCCCATTGAGAGTATACGCACGCGGGGGAAAGGGACTCAGCCGCGAGTGCCCCTGGGTCGCGCTGCAACCCGGCCTGCGGGTGGTGGCCCAAGCGTACTGGCTGTCACCGCGGGCGCGGTAGTGCGTGCGCCGCCGAGGGTGGTGGCGGCAGGCACCCCGCCCTTGGCCGCCGCCTCGGCGTGTCAGGTGCCGTGAGAAGCGCGGGAGGGGCGGCCGCGAGGAGCGCCCAGGGATATGACTTCCCAGAAGCTGCGCACGCAAGGCACAGCTCCGCACGCAAGGGGGAGGCGACAGCAGAAGAAACTTTTCAACCCAACAAAGTCGCCCCCTCCTCCTCCTCCTCCTACTCGTCTCCCCAGTTCGGGTCCCTAGCTCCAAGAATCTTCATAGCGCCCAGCCGGTCCTCTCCTCCCCGCCCCCTTGTTCGCCGCAGCTTGGCTCCTTGCCCTGCACCAACGACCTCGTTGCTGCCAGCGCCAACCCGTGCGCTCCAGCGGGCGGCGCCACCTGGAGTCTTTTCTGAAAGAGAATCTCAGAGCCATCCGCGCCCCGATTGAGCGCTGGCTTTTTGTGTGCCCAAGATGATCTAGGTCCTGGAAAGGAGCGCTGAGGGTTTCTGATCTTGCAAAAGACGAAAAGAGAACGTTGTGTGTCAAAGTACCACAACTGAAGGGTCAATTAGGTTGCGAAAAAAGTAGACTAAATAAAATAAGGCTAACCACCGCAATAACTCGAGCTTTCCTCTTTCCCAAACGGACATGTTTCCTTTCCCTGCTAGGGATGCTCAAGGATCGTGAGCAATTGTGTCTCGGAGAACCAATCCTAAGTCACCGAGAGGGAAAAGAGGTCTAGTTTTCGGGGTGTGGGGTGTCCTTGGGCTACTGCTTGTGCCAAGAGCATTCTGTCCCCAGTGCAGGTCTGGGGGAAACCTTGAGGCTTAGATTGGGAGTTAACTGTGATGAAGAGCCGTTAGCAGACAAATGAAAAGTTCACACTGTCGCCCCAAAGCCTCTAGCTACTCTACTGCTGCACCGCGGTCGGAGCGCGCCGCTCAGACGCCTTGCTGGACCACCCAGGCGCGCAGACTGGGATTCCAAGCCCAGCAGTGAAGACCCTAGCCGCGTGCCCCGCCCCCACGAGCCCCGCCCCTCCAGGTCCCGCTTCCTCCTCGCTCTACAGCCCTTAAAACCCGGAGAATCGGATGGCGCGTGTAGTCTTTGGAGTGTGTGCAAACACCTCTGCGACGCCAGCTGTGAGAGCCGCCCGGGGGGCATGAGGGCTGGGAACTGACTCCACTCTTCAATCTCCTGCTCCATTCCAACGCTCTGAGAAAATCCTGACTTTCCCAGAGCCCCAGGTGCAGCAGGGCTCCACAAAGGAGGTACCTTTTCCCGTCCCCATCCCAGTCCAAGGGCTCTTGGTTCTGTGGACACCAAGAGACTCCAAAGTGAGTGCTAAAGATCCCAGAGAGGGCAAGAGGTGTCCAGGAAGGACTTCCAGGTTCCTGTCGACTCTCGGGTTGACGTCCTACCCTCAGCCCCTTTTTGGAGCCGGTCGTCCCGCGCCGCTGGAAACCGCACCTCCCCGCAGGTCAGTCTGTCCGCTGAGCCGCCTCCCAGCGGCCTCCTCACATGGGTTCTTGCAGGTCCGGGATGGGGTGGTAGGCAGTTTAAAGGAAACCAAGAGTCATCGCCAAGATGCCTGTAGTGTTGTCCCGAAATTATAGGAACCGTTACGTGATTGGGGGTGCAGAAGCTAGTGCTGGATACCAGAGACAGAAACACGCCCCTTTCCTTCCCAATCAGAGCTTGGTGTAGGTGTGGGAAGAGGTGTCTTCCGCCACTTCTCCAGAGAGCCAGCCCCGTCCAGACCTATGGATGGCCTCCCCTTCACCCAAAGGCTCGACAGTTGGGAAAGGAGCGAGGGGAGCCCTCTCCTTTCTCTTCACACTGAGTGTCACGCCTTTGCCTTTCTGTCCCCAGCATGGCCACGGGCCTCAGCCCAGATGATCCGTGGCAGCTGAGCGCGCTGTCTGTCCAGCAGTCTACGCTTCTGCTGCTCCTCTCCGTGCTGGCCGCGGTGCACGTGGGTCAGTGGCTTTTGAGGCAGCGGCGGCGGCAGCCCTGGTCCTCGCCCCCGGGCCCATTCCCATGGCCACTGATCGGAAACGCCGCGGCAGTGGGCCGGGCGTCGCACCTGTCCTTCGCACGTCTGGCGCAGCGCTATGGAGACGTCTTCCAGATCCGCCTGGGCAGCTGTCCGGTGGTGGTGCTGAATGGCGAAAGCGCCATCCACCAGGCCCTGGTGCAGCAGGGTGCTACCTTTGCTGACCGGCCGTCCTTTGCCTCCTTCCGCGTAGTGTCGGGCGGCCGCAGCCTGGCTTTCGGCCATTACACGGAGCAGTGGAAGGCGCAGCGGCGCTCGGCGTGTAGCATAATGCGCGCCTTTTCCACGCGCCAGCCGCGCAGCAGACATATCCTCGAGGGCCACGTGCTGGGGGAGGCGCGCGAGTTGGTGGCACTACTGGTGCGCGGCAGCGCTGGAGGCAACTTCCTCGATCCCACGCAGCCCATAATCGTGGCGGTGGCTAACGTCATGAGCGCCGTGTGCTTCGGCTGTCGCTACAATCACGACGACGCCGAATTCCTCGAGTTGCTTAGCCACAACGAGGAGTTCGGGCGCACAGTGGGTGCCGGCAGCTTAGTGGACGTGCTGCCCTGGCTGCAGCTTTTTCCCAACCCGCTGCGCACCACTTTCCGCGAGTTCGAGCAGCTTAACCGCAACTTCAGCAACTTTGTCCTGGATAAGTTCCGGAGGCACCGCGAACGTCTTCGTCCTGGGTCCATCCCCCGCGACATGATGGATGCCTTCATCCTCTCCGCAGAAAAGAAGGTATCTGAGGACTCGGGAGACGGGCTCGCGCGGCTGGACTTGGAGAACGTGCCGGCCACTGTCACCGACATCTTTGGAGCGAGCCAGGACACCCTCTCCACTGCGCTACTGTGGCCGCTTATCTTCTTCACCAGGTAAATTCTCCAGGAGGCCTGGGTTGGGCTTTTCTTTCCTCCTCTGAAGACGGTGTGGGCTAGAATATGTTGAGGTCACAAGCATCTCATAGGGTTTGAGGTTTCGCTCCAGGTCTGCTTTCCTCAAAACCGATATCGCCTCCCTAAAACGACGCCCAGAAATGTGTAGCGTAGGCTTTGATTCGCACGCGATCACTCCACGTAGAGCTCCAGTGATCTCTCAGTATCTCGGATCTTGTCTCTTCCCTCCCTTCCCGCGCTTGCGAGTGGAGACAAATTTGTTAAATCCCGCAAACAGGAGATGTCTAAAATGTCCACAGAGCAGCCCTGATAGGTCTCTTCCTGGTGCAATAGAAGCAATATTGGAACGGCTCCAGAAGAAAGGGAAATGCAGCAAATAAGTTAAATAAACACGGCAGCATAATCGGTACGGATCAGAGGCTGCCCAGTCCTGGCACTAAAAGTGAGCTGCTGGTCAGGGCTTTGTTCCCAGACAAAGGAAGACTGTGGAGGTCAGCCTGCGTGGGCCAACCCATGAAAAAGCTTTCCAGAGGCGGCCAGAAACCAACCGGCTGTGCTGGGTTCATAAATGCCGCGCTAGGAATGAGAGCAAAAGTCAGGATAAAACTCAGCAGTCACTTTTGCAAAGTGCTAAAGTTTTTGTATACTTTTTTGAAATAGCTGTATCCAGGCAAAACTGAATAGTTGCAACAGGGGAGATTTGGTTCACAACATCTAAAACATTTTCATCTGGCCCTTTATGAAAAAAGTTGGCAGACTCTGCATTGAGATGTTGAAGAGATTTTTTTAAATCTTCCATACATGCTTAATCTTTTTTTCAGGATTACAACAAAATGAGTATATGTTTTTTGACTTCTACTTATTTTACTGGGCATTTCACATCTTTTAACGTTAATTTTAGTAATTTTTATAGCTACATAATAAATTGCCATAATAATATATGTGTGTGTATGAACATTTCTTAAGCTTTAACATGAGTCACTGACTTTGATTGCATTTTCAATTTTAGCTATTGTTGTGATTAGATGTTTTTGTACCTGTTAAATTAATTAATGAAAATACATTATTAGGTATAAATTATTGGGTTTTAAATGAGGGGGGATTACCTTGTGAAGTTTGTTTTGTAGCAGTGCATAATTATTACTATTTGTACCACAATTTTACAAACATTGGGAATTTTCTTCTAAGTTTAGAAAATGCATAACTTTTCTACCAGGATACCAAAAATATTTTATAAATTAAGAACAAGGAATTATCCAGGGAAATGAGGGCAAGAAAAGGGATCTGCTTTTAGGACTGCATCATAACTTTTGTGAGTCCTGGGAACTTTTGTCTTTCTGGACTCCTTATTCTATAAAACGTTTTAAAACTATATATAAAACCGAACACATTAAAAATCATATATTAAGACTTTTTTCCTACCTAAAAGTTTATTTTTTTAGATTTGAAGATTTTTAAAGACAGGAAAACATTTTTTTAGGCCCCTCCAAAGTATTATGAGCCCTAGGCCCTGTGCTTTTAGTATTTAATGGAGAAGTCAGGTTGGCCGTTATTGTGCATTTTCAAAATAAGGAAACTTAAGAATTTTTTGACTTATAATGGGGGAGAGCTTTAGTTATGTAAGTTTTACTATGGAAAATATAATTGTTGAAGTCCATCTTGTAATTTAGAGAAAAATTAGCAGTCTTAGATTTTTCCCCCCAGAAGTATCCATTCAGTCATTAACTAAGCCTGTTTAAAGACAGTGGAATTAAACTAAATTGTAATGTACTTCTAAATGAAGGAAGAATTAATTTTGCTTACTCAATTTTTTTTCCTCCTTTACATTAAAACCCTGAATAGGTATCCTGACGTGCAGGCTCGTGTGCAGGCCGAATTGGATCAGGTGGTGGGGAGGAACCGCCTGCCGTGTATGGGTGACCAGCCTAACCTGCCCTATGTTATGGCTTTTCTCTACGAAACCATGCGATTCTCCAGCTTTATGCCTGTCACCATCCCCCACGCCACCACTGCCAACACCTTCGTTTTGGGTTACTACATCCCTAAGGACACGGTGATTTTTGTAAACCAGTGGTCTGTGAATCATGACCCGGTGAAGTGGCCTAACCCGGAGGACTTTGATCCAGCCCGATTCCTGGACAAAGACGGCTTCATTAACAAGGAGCTGGCCAGCAGCGTCATGATTTTTTCCGTGGGCAAGCGGCGGTGTATTGGCGAAGAGCTGTCTAAGATGCTGCTGTTTCTCTTCATCTCCATCCTGGCTCACCAGTGCAATTTCAAGGCCAACCAAAACGAGCCCTCGAAAATGAGCTTCAGTTATGGCCTGACCATTAAACCCAAGTTCTTTAAAATTCACGTCGCTCTCAGAGAGTCCATGGAGCTCCTTGATAGTGCTGTCCAAAAGTTGCAAACTGAGGAAGCTGGCCAATGAGAAGCCAGAAAGCAAGCCGAAATTGAAGTCTCGGGGGATGAGGAGGAAAATTTAGTGTTTTGTTTTGTTTTCCCCCACTAATTCCTCTTTGATGCCACTTCTCAATTAGCCTCTAAGATGTATGTAAATCAAGAAGCCTGTAGGAGAGGCTTGTTCCCCACTGAGTAGCTCCTTGTGAGGTGCAGGAGCTCTGGGAAAAGTTTTTGAATCACAGAGTCACAGGGCCCAAGGAATTTATATAGGATCATGGTAATAATAATTTCTTAAGGGAGTATTCTTTGGAGTTAACAGATACATATACATATGCACACAATTATCTAATGAAGTATTTCAGTAATTATGCCTTTTTAGTGGATCCCGTGGTGGGGAGGAACCACCTGCCCTGTATGGGTGACCAGCCTAGCCTGCCCTATGTTAGTTATGGCTTTTTAGATTGAGCCTCTATGTGCAGAAATCATTTTCTTAGAAAACTGTACTAAGCAAAATTTCGGGATATATTGAAGATGCAAAGGCAAGTGATTTCCGTGTAAGGTATGTGATTGAGGGTGATAAGGGAAAATGTAAAAACCAGAAATTCCCTTCTTACCTTTTTAGCAAAACGGCTTAGAGAGACTGTAGTACCGCTGGGTAGATTTAACTTTTTGCTTATTGATATGCTTCCCTACTTCAGGATGAATCATAAAGTCAGTTGCTTAAAAATAAATTAATAATTGAATTAATGATTGGAGTGCATTTCAGAGATTTATCATGAAATTTAAAGTGTAAATTATTTAACTACAAAATTCCAAGCTGAACTTGTACCTCTCTCTTGGTTGCCAAGGTACAGTGTTTCAATTTTGAGAAAAAAAATATATTTGCCATTTCAGCTAAACTTTCAGTTATATGATTGTAATGTACTGATGTCAGCAAGTCTTATAAGCTAAAAAAAAAAAAAAACACCCATGTCACCGAATAGTATTTAACATATATGTATATATACATATCTATGCACAGATATATACACATTACATAATCGTTCATAAACAGTATGTTAATATTAATTATTTTGATCATGAAAAGGTGGAATAGTATGTCTCATATTATATTGAAAATCAAAAAGTACAATCAGTTCAACAAGGTATGGTTCCAATACCTTAAATAAGCCTGATTAAATCAACCACCTATTTTTTTTTTTTTTTTTTGACATGAAAAACCAAGTCAAAGCAAGATTTTTTTTCTCATCCAAGTTTTGGACAATGAACAGATCCCAAAATTAGGTTAGTAAGATGTATTCTTATTTTATAATGTTTTATTAAAATTGTATTCACAATATAGTTTCTCCTTTTGAAATTGATGCAGTTAATATGTTGAAATTTCAAACTCTTAGCATGTTAAATTTTAAGTTAATTTAAAGTCCTTTCTGATTACTGAGTTCCAGTTGAAACTATTAGGAATCTTGATCGTTTGGAAAGCGAGACAATCTAACGTTTGCTGGGAGGAGAATGAAAATACCATAAATTATCTGGATGTTCTCTTTCATAGGTAACAAGGGGGGAATTCCCATTATAATTGATTAGTTTCTCTTTTAAGTGATTAAGCAGTTTAGCATTGATGTTTGTTTTTTTAAATGTCAGAATCAGGATCAGCCTCTTTGGAGGCTGTTTTGAGAGGGGCACTCTAAGACACAGGAGCTGATCATATCGGTTGTGTTATTTGGGATAAATTGCTTTGGGAGCTGAAAAAAAAATGAAACTTGAACAAGATGTACGGATTATGAAATAACCTGAAAACATTTTTTAAAAAGAGATGGAAAGAATACAAAAGTATACAAAGGAGGCTTCACGTTTTTATTTTCATTGCAATGGAACTTCCAAAACAAATTCTACAGAATCCTGAGAGCTTACTGTTTGCTCTCTTTTATTAAGCTTTTTTTTTTTTTAATTTTAAAATCAAAATTCAAAGGAAGGAGTGTACAATGGTTTAATATGTGGGTGGTCGGAAGAGAAACAGAAAGATGGCTAAGCATCTTCCCACCATTCCAGATTAATTTAACTGAAGCACAAAATTTGAAGCATGAACATTTAGGAAAAAAAGATGCTTGGTGTGCCAGCATTAAATCTCTAGATTTTTTTTTTTAAATCTATAACATAGCAGATCTATTTTGTAGTTTGGAATATCATATTAATACAATTTTTTATTTTAAAATTTCATAATCATATCTTTTGAAGATGAAAAGTTGTGCCAGTATTTTTAAAGGCATTAAAGCCAATTAAACAAATTAGGCTTACCCAATACACTTCAGTTTTTAGGCACTATTTCAAAAAGTTATGCCCCAGCAGACAATAACTCTGGCCTCCTGTAGCCAATTTATTCCGAGAGATGTGTAATAGCAAAAATATTAAGGCACTGATCTGGATGCCTCATTACCAACCAGGTCCAGAGTATGATCACCTGTTTTTTTTTTTTTTTTTTTTTTTTATTGAGCTCAGTTGTCCCTGGATGCTTGAGGCAAAGGGAAAGCTGGGCTTGTATGAGAAAACCTAGGTGCTTGGAGGTTACCTGTCTTATTTAGTATGCTTATAACCTAGTTAAAGGAAGGAAAATAAAACCAAAAATGAATAAAAATAACCAAATTTGGTGACTATGGTAATCAGATTACTGGCTTAATCAGAAAACCTCATTTTATTTCTGCCAGAGTTAGTTATTTGCTGATCACCATTAAAGTCAGAACATCTACTTCAGGTTATCATAGTAGTTAAAGTATATTGTTTATTAAATGCCTCACTTATATGTTAAAGCTTTGACTGTGTAAGAAATGTTTTTTTCCAAAATAAAAAGATGTCTCAGGTTTGTTTTGTGTATTATCTAAAAGCTTTCATGTCCCAGAACTTAGCCTTTACCTGTGAAATGTTACCACACCCTTAATATTTTCATAGTAGATCTATGTTAGATCAAATAGTTGCATAGCAATATATATTAATTTGTATGTTTTTAGCTGTGACACAACTGTGTGATAGAAAAAGTATACTTTAGTAGATGTGATTATAACTCAAGAATAACTCCTTATTTAACCTTTTCATATTTTTATACTTTTTCATGTATGCTTTTAGTGTATACATATAGCAGCTATGGAACCTAGGTGTAACCAAAATAGATTCTGGAGGCACAACATTAATATATAGCTTTTACAGTTTGATATACCAAATTAAAAAAAAAACTGTATCTGGGATTATCTATAATGGGACAGTATTACCAAAATAATAAAAATCACTTTCATAATCTTATGAAATTTCATTTCATGTTGTAATGAAGATAGTTAAATGTATCCATTTATTTCTACTATTACTATATATCCTTGAATAAAATATTTCATCATAAGATCCTCTTGTGGTTCCTAAGTGTGAATTGGGTTTTTATGCCATTGTGTGAGATGTGCCTTCCTCAAATCTTGTAATGGCATCAGCACATTATCAATTGACATGATGAGAGAGAGAAGAAAAATTGCACTAGAAGCATTTTATTTGGTCATTCTACATTTTCTTCTTCTTTTAAATAGTTTTTAAACAACAAGGTTTCTACCAAATTCCTGATATCTATCTCTCCCTCCGCCCCATCATCTATTTTTTTTTTTTTTTTTTTTTTGTGACCAGGGATTAAACTCAGAGTACTTCACCACTGAGCCACATCCCCAGCCCTATTTTGTATTTTATTTAGAGACAGGGTCTCACTGAGTTTGCTTAGTGCCTCACAGTTGCTGAAGCTGGCTTTGAACTTGCAATTCTCCTGTCTCAGCCTCCCAAACTGCTGGGATTACAGGCGTGCGCCACTGCGCCTGGCTCTATTTTTTAATTCGTAAGAACCAAATAAGGAGTTAAATTTCAATGGCAAACTGCCGCAGTCTGGCTGGGCACAAATCACGAGCCACTGAAGCAGGAACAAACTTTATTTTTAAACTGCAGGAAAACACTTCACACAGCTCCCGGGGAATCCTCCCAAACGCGCCACGAGGCTTGTCCAGGAACCCCCAGCCAGAAATCTCTCTCCCGGAAATCCCTCCTCCTGCACTTCCCCAACCAATGGGAACTCTCGGGGAATCCTCGGAAATCCCCACGAGAACTCCAAAATAGTGCGAGAACTCAAAAGTTGCGGCAGAGGCGGACAGGCAGAGGCGCCTGTCAATCAATACTGTTGGCAAAATGCCAGGGGCCATACAGACTCAGCCGTGGCTCTCAGCAGCAAACAACCAAGCAAAATAAGAATTAATTTGCAATTTTGAAAGATTGAATGCATTGAGACTTTAAGATGCTGACCTAATATTTCTACTTCCTCTGAAAAATGTAGGACACATTCTTCCCCTCAGCAACATACTAATCCTTCCTCTGAGTGTTGTTCCATTCATTCACTTTCAAGGTATATGTGCCTTAATTAATAAGTGCAATTCATGCCCAGTACAATAGTTTTGGAAAAGAGTTCTGTAATATACTACATGGAATATTTTTCTGCTGGCTTTTGTACTTGGTAAATGACTTGATGTTACAGGCCCTGCACAGTGGGGTTCCGGCCTTTTCTGCCCCATGCTCACAGGTGGTAGGCTATGTACAGCCAAAGGCCCTTATTTCTTCCAGACTATAGCTCCTATTACTGTGAAAACAGGAAAAGGAGCAGTGGAGTAAAAATTGTACTCAACGTCACTGCTACTTTGGCTTGGGAACACCACTTTAGCAGCCAAGAGGAATGGCTATGAATTGGTTTTAGAGAATGCTCGTTTTTCAGATGTACTTCAAAAGGATCTTGGAAATGGCCATATGGATTCAACACAAGTGAAAACAATATTTTAATGGGGAGGGGAATTCCTTTAAAAAATCTACATGGGGTCAGGTTTTTGCAGAACTATCAGGCAGGGTTTCATTCAACCCTGTCAAGCCAATATAGTGTACGACGGGATGCAGCTGAGTGTGAATGCAACTTTGCACCTAAGATAGGTGTGGTCACAGAAGCTCACGAAGGTCATTTCTATGACCTCAAAGCCAGTCCTGTGTTCTGTACTAGTGCTGCAGAAATTAATCGGCTGTCAGATTTCTCTCACTTTGGTTCAGTGACTCTCACTTCCTGCTCTTCCCTTTGGGAAGGAAGGAAAATAAATATTCAAACACATTGGAGAGCTATTTGTTTTTAAGGACGAAATTCTGGAGGAAAATAATCTGTGTTTATGTGGAAAGAGAAAAAAATTAATAACTCTCCCCCCAAAAAAGAAAAGACGGGGAAAAAAAGAAAAAGAATCTAGTTTAACTAGATATGGGCAAACCATAGCTAAAATGCTTGCAGTTCCTTTATTTGCTATGTTAGTTATGTGCTTTGAGGAAGACTGCACAGATCTTCTTTAATACTTCCCAATATGTGTCACGTATGAGAGGCATTAAAAAATGTTAAACACTTATGATTTTTGGATCACTCACTGTGCTAAACTCTTTTTTAATTTAATTACTATTATTATTTTGGTACTGGGAATTGAACCCAGGGGTACTTAACCACTGGGCCACATTCCCATTTTTATTTTTTATTTTGAGACAGGGTCTCAATAAGTTGCTTAAGGCCTTTATAAGTTGCTGAGGTTGGCCTTGAACTTGTGATCCTCCTGCCTTACCCTCAGGCATGGGTCACTGTACCCAGCTATAATAAACTCTTTAACACATTATTATACAATGGTCTTATGAGGGAGGTGATGATATGCCAAAATTATGCCTTCAGAAGCGTTTAGATTTTCCCTAAAGATGCATTGACTTCAAAGCCCCTCGTCTTTGTACCAGAGGTCACTTCTCAACCTGCCTGTGTTTGGTTATACAGTTTGTCTGTAGTTTTTTTTTTTTGTAATTTAAAAATTTTAATTATTCTAATTAGTTACATATGACAGCAGAATGCAATTCAATTCATATTACACAAATAGAGCACAAATTTTCATGTCTCTGGTTGAACACAAAGTAGCATCACACCATTCCTGTTTCATACATGTACTTAGGATGATGATGACTGTCTCATTCTGCCCTCTTTCCTACCCCCACGCCCCTGCTTCCCCTCCCTCTCTTTGTCCTACCCAAAGTTTCTCTATTCCACCCATGCTCCCCCCATCCCCATTATGAATCTGCATCCTTATATCAGAGAAGACATTTGGCATTTGGTTTTTTAGGATTGGCTAACTTCACTTAGCATTATATTCTCCAGCTCCATCTATTTACCTGCAAATGCCATGATTTTACTCTCTTTTATTGCTGAGTTCCATTCTGTATATATACCACATTTTCTTTATCCATTCATCTACTGAAGGGCATCTAGGTTGGTTCCACAATTTAGCTATTGTGAATTCTGCTGCTATAAACATTGATGTGGCTGCATTACTATAGTATACTGTTTTTAAGTCCTTTGGGTATAAACTGAGGAGTGGGACACTGGGGTCAAATGGTGGTTCCATTCCCACTTTTCCAAGGAATTTCCATACTGCTTTCCAGATTGGTTGCACCAATTTGCATTCCCAACAGCAATGTAAGAGTGTGCCCTTTTCCCCACATCCTCGCCAACACTTATTATTGTTTGTTTTCTTAATAGCTGCCATTCTGACTGGAGTGAGATGAAATCTTAGAGTAGTTTTGATTTGCATTTCTCAAATTGCTAGAGATATTAAACATTTTTTCATATATTTGTTGATTGATTGTGTGTCATCTTCTGAGAAGTGTCTGTTCAGTTCCTTGGCCCATTTATTGACTGGGTGATTTGATTTTTTTTTGGTGTTAAGATTTTTGACTTATATATCCTAGAGATTAGTGCTCTATCTGATGTACATGTGGTAAAAATTTGCTCTCTATTCACTGTAGGCTTTTTATTTACTTTATTGATTATTTCTTTTGCTGAGAATAAGCTTTTGAGTTTGAATCCATCCCATTTATTGATTCTTGATTTTAAAATTCTTTTGCTTTAGGAGTCTCTTTAAGGAATTTGGGGCCTAATCCAACATGATGAAGATTTGGGCCTACTTTTTATTCTACTAGGTGCAGGGTCTCTGGTTTAATTCCTAGGTGCTTGATCCACTTTGAGTTGAGTTGTAAATGGGGAGGGATACGGGTTTAATATCACTTTGTTGCATATGGATTTCCAGTTTTCCCAGCACCATTTGTTGAAGAGGCTATCTTTTCTACAATATATGTTTTTGGCACCTTTGTCTATATGAGATAAGTATTTTTGTGGGTTTGTCTCTGTGTCCTCTATTGTGTACCATTGGTCTGCAAGTCTATTTTGGTGCCAATACCGTGCCATTTTTGTTACTATAGCTCTGTAGTATAGTTTAAGGTCTGGTATAGTGATGTCACCTGCTTCACTCTTCTTGCTAAAGACTGCTTTAGCTATTCTGGGTCTCTTATTTTTCCAGATGAATTTCATAACTGCTTTTTATGACTGATTGGAATTGCATTAAATCTGTATAGTGCTTTTGGTAATATGGTCATTTTGACAATATTAATTCTGCCTATCCAAGAACAAGGTAGATCTTTCCATCTTCTAAGGTCTTCTTTAATTTCTTTCTTTAGTGTTCTGTAGTTTTCACTGTACAGTTCTTTCACTTCTTTGGTTAAATTGATTCCCAGGCGTTTGTTTGTTTTTGAGGCTATTGTAAATTGGATAGTTTTCCTCATTTCTCTTTCAGAGGTTTTATCACTGATATACAGAAATGCATTTTATTTATGGGTGTTGATTTTATATCCTGCTACCTTGCCAAATTCATTCACAAGTTCTAGAAGTTTTCTGGTGGAATTTTTTGGGTCTTCTATATATAGAATCATCGTTGGCAAATAGTGCTAATTTGAGTTCTTCTTTTCCTATCTGTATCCCTTTAATTTCTTTCATCTGTCTAATTGCTCTGAACAGTATTTCAAGAACTATTTTAAAGAGAAGTGGTAAAAGAGGGCATCTCTGTCTTGTTCCAGTTTTTAGAGGGAATGCCTTCAATTTTTCTCCATTTAGAATGATGTTGGCCTGGCGCTTAGCATAGATAACTTTTACAATATTGAGGTAAGTACCTGTTATCCCTAGTTTTTCTAGTGTTTTGAACATGAAGGGGTGATATATTTTGTCAAATTCTTTTTCTGCATCTATTGAGAGGATCATATGATTCTTATATTTAAGTCTATTGATGTGATAAATTACATTTATTGATTTCTGTATGTTGAAACAAACTTGCATCCCTGGGACGAACCCCACTTGATTATGGAGCACTATCTTTTTGATATGTTTTTGTGTTCACTTTGCCAGAATTTTATTGAGCATTTTTGCATCTATGTTTATTAGAGATATTGGTCTGAAGTTTTCTTTCTTTCATGTGTCTTTGCCTGTCTATGATATTGGCCTCATAGAATGAGTTTGGAAGGGTTCCCTTTTTTTCTATTTCATGAAATCATTTGAGGAATACTGGTATTAGTTCTTCTTTAAAATTCTTA